GACGCAATCGACAATGCGAGACAACAGTGGGAGCGGAGTAGCCCTTGCGAAGCGACTGGAAGTCTCTCCTACAGCTGGAGTGCTCCCGAAAACTGTGTCACACGTAGGTCTGCAGGTTTGGCTAAACTTTTGCACGGACTCCGACGTGAAAGTGCTGGGGAGCTGCAGATGCTGAAATCCTGGAGGACACTTGCAACGGCAGGACAAGGTGAGCAGCCCCTCTCGGTTAACCAACCAGTGTGAAGCTCCCCGGAAAGGTGATCCAAAGTAGCAGGCGCTCCACTTGAAACTAAGATATCCCTTTGCACGAAGGCGCTTGAAGATGGAAAGTTGATACATCGACGACCCCAGGGGCTGCCCACAGGAAGCAACGAGTCCATACACCGCGCATAAGTGCAGAATAAAAGCAATCCGCCGTGCAAGGGTGACGATCCCGGTAGCTTTTGGGTCTGTAGCTTCACAAACAGGTTGCGGAATATTGCCCCAGAATACACACGTAGGAGAGATGTGGATGTAGGCAACGACCCTCCTGCAAATAAGACCTATGATGTGCAACATGGTGTAGGGGAAACTGATGTCACCACTCTGCCCAGCCGCGAGATCGAACCCAGGGTGAACTGTGAAGCCTCTGCTTCGGAACAGGTTGCTGAGCTCACAATCGCCACGAAAAACTTCGCAGACATCAAACAATACTCCTTCAGTCAACCCTCGAGGGATGGACGGGGTGGTATCGTCTGCAAAATCACTGGCATTGAACTGTTCCAAATATGCAGAAACCTGAAACTTAAGCTGGGTGTGATATCCCTTGTGATCTGCGTGACGAAGGAGCTCCAAGCAAGCTTCAGGCGGCAACTGTGCCTCACAGGCTCCGGCTGCGTACGACGAAGCGTCTGTGCAAAAGACCCGGTCCAAAGGATATGCACGAAGGTCTGTAGTCATACACGGTGCATACAATGTCAAAAGGAGAAGCTCCTGTCTAGAGTCATGTGATAAAGCAAACACAACTCCATCCTGATGGTTTGCAAGCTCGTGGTATAGCTCACCAATCAGACTCATGAAAGGCCTCCTGAACATAATCACATACACCCATGACCCAACTAAGCTGGACAGGATCTCCTTCGTCGCGAAACCGAGCACGGCAAGCTGAAAAGAGAGCGCACAAAGCACTGTAACCCTGAGCTTAGGGGCTGATATCTCGCCGACCTTGCCATCGATCTCACCGCCTAAGACTGTGGCGTGGTAGGAATTGCGCACAGCCTTCTTTGTAGAGGTACGTAGCTTCGCCTTATGATACATATCAGCTGCGCGAGCAAAGAGTGCAAGATCAGCTCGATTAATGTCGGGAGCTCGCGAGGCCTCTGCCTTCGAAACCAAAAGTAGGAAAGCATGATCGTCGATGCACAACAGCTCGAATCCAGGTCCTCTAGGAAAAGGAAACTTATATGCAACTTGATCTGAACTGCGTAGGCATGAGGCTCGCTGCAAAAGTACGCTGTGCGCATGCTGCGCCGTTTCCACGGCATAGCTTGTTCCCATCGCCAGGCTCCGGAAACAACCCACCACCAGCTGATCATCAAGCTCAGGGTTGTATGCATTGAAGCCACGAAAATCAGAGCCCCTGAAGACCCCATGAATGTGGTTTCTGCCAGCATGAATATCCGAAACCACGAACCCATGATAGAAGTCCTTTAGATCATCTGATCCAATGACTAGGTTCTGGTCCGAAGCGATGAAAATTTGACCGAGGAGACTGGCATGTGCCAGCGACAAGGTGGAATCCGAAATCGAGAAGCACCTGGCATTCTCCGGAATAGGATTCAAGATCTGGCGATCCACCTCGTCGCTTTTGTAGACAGCGAAAAGCCCGCATCTGTATCTGGCTTCAGATGAAGCTGCCGGCAGTAAGTGTAAACTCTGAACCCCGTCCCACTTTCTGAAGAGCTCAAACTGTTCCTCTCTGGATGCCATCACACGAGCCAGCTTCGTCTTGGGCCACTGGCTTTCGGGCTTGAGGAGCACCCGGGGATCATAGAAAGCACTCTTCAGCAGAGGGTCGGTGATGTATTTGCTTGCCTCAAAAGCCGGGGGTGCTTCAAACACCAAACGCTTGGGATCAATGCGGAGGCTAGTCGTCTGCGGGGGCATCCTTGGTGCGGGATTGGGCCGCTCACCACTTGTGTGTGGACGAGGCGGCGTAGAAGAGCTCTTCGGTCCTTGTGTCTCACAATCCGCAGCTTGAGACGCCCGAGCCTTGCTGTAAGGTTGAAACTGCGCAAAAAGAGCATGACTGCGTTCACGCAAATAGCTGAGCTGATCCTCAAGAATAGAAAACTTCTGGACTGCACGGTCTAGTTCGCGTCTGGGCCCGGTGCCCAGGCGAACCCAAGCTGCAACGTGCCGCTCAAACTGAGCAATCATCGACTCTTGAGCTCTGCTCGGGGGCTGCATGGCATGCGTAGGGATCTCAGGCCTGCCACTCACAAGAAAGTTGCCCGCTGCCACAAGGAGGCGGACCCAGGTGTTGCGGTGGAGCCGGAGTACCCAGCGCGCCTTGCGCCGGCCCGCTAGCCTCGTGCGAGGAGCAGGCGTGCAAGCAGGAATGGGGCACGGCCACAACTCGTTTGGAGGGATGCTGGGCATCGCTCAAGACTGGTAGAGCACAAGCACGCCGGATATAGCTGGACAGCTTTGTTCGACCCCATCCCAAAAACTTCGAAACATAAGAACATAAAGTCGAAGCGGATAAGGTGCTATCCAAACCAGGCGGCAGAACTTTAGAAAGGAAAAACGGCCCGGCCTTCAGGCCTGGGGGTCGGCGGCCGCCTCGCCACCGTCCTTCGGTGGTCGTCTGCGACCTGGGCCTCTTGGTGGTACTCCCTCTTGTGGCTGGCCTCGAAGTGGGAGACGGTTCGTCTTCTCCTGGATCTGCTCGACATCTCGAAGGTAAGCAAGCTGCGCAGTGACCCAGCGAGGATCCGACAGCGCACCGTGGGGAACTTCGCTTCGGGGTGCTTTTCTGGTTTCCACCAGTGAGAAAGGAGGGTCCTCGCGACACGTCAGGAGCCAAGCCAGACGAGTCTGGCCCTGTTCGTGAGCCACTTGCTCGCAGAAGACCAACCCCAGAGCCACCAGCGACATCAGCTCCTCGGAACGACCGTGCTCGATGGATTCCCACATGTCGCACATGAGGAAGGCTAAGTAGGTCAGGGTCTTGAAGTTGCCGAGCGGAACGGTCTCCTGGAAGTGAAGGAACATGTCCCTCGGCTCCACCTCTGCCACTGAAGAACGCCTCCTCACTTGCGCCAGGCGCTCCTTGACGCTGGTGTGGATCGCCAAGGGGTTCCGCTGGAACTGGTCCTTCAAGAGTTGCCGAGCAGCCATTCCTCGAACGCCTGGAAGCTTGGCTCCGTCGTCGGAGCTGCCGGCACCCAACACATGCATCGGATCGGTGGATTTCCGGGCCGATGCTGCCAGCTGAGCCAAGATCTTGGTCTGCTGACTCAACAACTGTCCCAGCAACTTGCCACCTCTGCACCCTCGGGCTCGTCGACGACCTCCTCGACATCCTCGAGCGCGGCGGCAGATGGCTGAGGAGGTGTGGTTTTGGCCTTGGCGCGAGCTCCCAGCGCCAGCGAAGTGGAGCCCAGATCCGGGCCGGGAAGATCCCCCAACTGCGTGGGGCCACGGCCTGCTAGAGTCAACAGCTTCTGCACCTGCCCCGGAGCCAAAGCGCTTCGAGCACCCTCCGTGAAAAGTTGCGGAGCCCAAGCCGGGATGCCATCTGCAGGAGTGGTCCTTCCACCTACTGCTGCGTGGGCGGGGGGCGGATCGCGAGATCCCGCCTCCAGCTGCTTGAGGCGCTCGTCCACGGAGTCGAGAGAAGCCAGCTTCGCCTGCAGTCCGGAAAGCACGCGGCCCTGCTCTGCCAGTCAAAAGCTGCGTCAGCAGATCCTGCGGGAGAGTGCCTGCGGTGGGTTCTGTAGGAGAAGTGTGGGCCTCGGCTTCGGAGACTGCAGTGTAGTAGCCCTCGAGGCGTTCGAAGTCTTCCAAGACCAGCTCGTCGCCGTTGAGAAAGGCCTCCAGAGCCACCACAGCGGCCCGCGCGGAGGGCCACACGGACTGCAGACGGTGAGTTCCAAAAGGGGTCGGCTCGGACTCGGGGATCGCCTCGGAAAGGTGATCGACGCCGGCCGCGTTGATGTCGACCAACAAACAGGGCAGAGTGCGCTGCAGCTCGCGCCCGGTAGATGACATCGCCCGTATGGTGGTAGCAGTCCAAGGCCCGAACAAACCTTCGTAATGCTCTGCAGTGGCCTGTTGCAAAGTCTCCTCCGGTATGGCAGCGGGGGGGACGCAAATGACGAATCCGGAGTCCACGGCCCGCACGATGAAAGCATGCGCAATCGTCTCTTCGAACTTGAAAAAGAGCTTGCTGTACCCAGCTGGGTCCTCCGCTGTTCGCCATTGGCCCAAGTAGGAGGGCCTAGCGAACAAAGTCATCGAGGCTGGCGGTTGGGCAAGCCACGCAGGCCTGCACCGATGCAAAAAGCCTCGGCTTCAGCGAAGCTGGGGAAGCCGTGCGACACCGAAATGGGATCCCAAGAACCACCGGGACCGTTCTTCACGATGCGGCTGTAGTAAGCGAAATCGGATGTGATGAAGGGCTCGGTGACGTCGGCGCCGAAAAGGACCACGTAGACGATCTTGCGGCCACCCACCTGAGATCCACTGAAGTAGCCCCGGTCGCCTCGAATCTTGCTAGCTGCCTCAAGCCCAGCAGTGAAAGCGCGACGAATCCTCTCGTTAGGGCCGTAGCCGTTCACAGAAGACCGCAGCTGCCGAGCCAAAGAAAGAACTTCCTGAGAAGGTTCGTCGTCAACAGGGCGTAAGGCCCAATCGGGAATAGCAGCAGGCTGTGCAGCCGAAGATGTAGAAGCCGGCGGCGTCAAAGAAGAACCACTGGATGTTGCAGGGGGTGAGGCTTGGACTACCACGGAGATGTTCAAAGAGAGATTCCCTATCTGCTCGGTGAGTGTCACAATCTCCTCAATGTCACGCTCGATGCTCATGCACCAAAGGCCTGTAGCGAGCCAGCCGGTCGATTGGAGCCGGAGGCTGCAGTTCCCTCAAAACGGCGCTCAAGACAGACCAGACGATGGAGCGAGCACTGGAGCTTACCGCGAGCAGCACGATCAGACCGCCGCAGACGAAGCCGCAGCACCAGCAGCAAATGGCAAGGAGAATAAGATCTGAGCTGCTACGAGAGGGGCAACCTAGGAAGCCCCAAAGGAAGGCCCAGGGGTCAACCCTGCTGAACATCAAGGCCGAAAAGCTTCAGCAAGCAGCAGGCTTGGGAACATTCACAATCCTTGCAAGTCAGAAGCCCCAGTGAGCCACAGCTGGTAGTCCTGGGTCTTCTGGTCTCTAGCTGCCGCAACTGCCTGCTGGCAGACTGTCTTGACACCGCTCTCACCGGGCTGGCTAGGGTGTCCTTTTGGGGTGTGCACACAAAGTCAACCGGGGAGGGGGTCAGATGCCCCCCCTCTCCAATGCCTGACAAAGGCTTTCAGAGGAGAAGTCTGGGCAGCAAGCACAAAGTGTCGCAAAGCGGGAGTAAGCGGCCACGGGGGGCTCCCAAGCTTTGCAGCTTCTGCCACCACGCGGCCTCTTTCCCATTCCACGGGAGGCCTTCATTGGGCTGCATGAGGGGTTTGTGAACGATGGGCCGGGCACATCCCCTTAATAAAATGACGCTTTGAGATGCAGAGAGTGAGGTTGGCGAACCGTCGGTTGGTCTGAGTGCTGGGCAACTGGACTCTTCCAAAGCAGCCTAGTTTAGCCCCTTGGTCACTAGTGTCGCCGGGAATGGGGAAGGGGAGATGGGCGTCCCCGGGCGAGTCGGCCCCCAATCCCACCGTTGGCCCATCCGTGGGGTCTCGAAGGGACCCTGTAAAGGCCTTGAGCTGGAGAAGGGGAATCTGCCCCCCTGAAGTGAAGAAGCGGTAAGAAACCGCCCTATGTGGCCGGAAAGGCACACTCCAGTTGACAGAACACTGAAGCAAGAAGGCGATACGGACTGAAGCGAGGGCGTAGTCAAGGCAGTTGCCGGTGGAGATGGTCGCCTTGTCAGGGGCGACTAGCTTACCACGAAAGGACTCCGGGAGAGAGGTTTCCTCCAGCTCGTGGGAGGGGAAGTTCCAGTCTCCCGCCACGATCCAGTTGGCACATGCCAACTCCGGGTTGCAGATAAAGGTTGACGACGAGAAGGGAGTGCCTGACTCTGGGCAGTTCAACCAAAACAAAACCTGCACCGTCCTCAGAGAGGAAACCTCCTCTGTGTCTGCCTTGCATGTGAACTTCCTTTCGTGGGTCTGGGGCCCTTAACAGAAGGGAAGAAGAGGTGGTACCCCTTTGCGAGGGCGTCAATTCGGAGCTTACGTGCACCCTCGTCCCCCAAATGAAGCTTCTGAATGAGGAGGGGCCCTTGGCTGGGCTGGTGCCACCTGAGAATCTCAGGGGACCAGGCTGTGATGTTGGCACTGACAAAGCAAATTTCCTTAGCGGGGCTTGCGCATTTGAGGTGGGCCGCCACATCATCGAGGAAGGCAGCTGCCAGCTCGGCGTTAAAACCCAAACGCGCCTTTAGACGCTTCGCTTTGGCTGGGTTTTAGCGGCGAGGGGCAAAGGCTCTCACAGCACACAACTGACCAACAAGCTAAAGTCACACAGCACTTTCGCACACGGTTCTCTG